ATACCCTTCCCGCCGATAGTGTGTTAACTATATTCCATTGGAAAGTGTTGGTTATTTTAGGTAGAAAACTCTCGGAGTGCAAAAAAAAAATTATAAATCAGCTGGTTCGGCGGTTAGGGGAGAGTACGTTGTCAATGCGCGGTGTTCATTCAGAAAACCGTCTCGCTCTCGGCCCTTTGTATCACCGTGGCCGTTGCACACCGAGATGCATTAGCATCCGACAACATCCTTCGCATCACGCGAATCTCTCGTTACTCTCTCCGCGGAAACAATAAGATTCAAAAACAATGGACAACGTTCTTCCGCGATTCGTCAAACTTCTTCGGAAACCCTCGCCACAACTATTGTAATCCCCCGGCGACCATTGTTGGCGGACGCCGCTGGGAAATTTATGGAATTTTCGTACGGGCGGAACGCGCCGCAGGAAAAACGAATTACCAGGCACACGCTCGTCTGGACGAACGTCTGGAAACGTTTTTTCTGATACCGATCCGAGGCGGTTCGTACCGTAACGAATACAATTGCGATTTAATTGACTTTCCTACGGGTATTACGATACAGCTCGATGGAAGAATCGCTTCCACGTGAGAATAGAGGATCGGTGGAGCAGAGATTGAATGCAATTATGTCTGAAGACGGCACGGTAAGTTAGAGGAAATGTATTTTAACCCTTCGCGATCGGTGGCGCCAACATACCGACGTTTAACGTTTGTTTTTGAAATCGGTATCGGCAATTGTTTTCTGAGTAGTGTCATTTTGCGAGAGGTATTGTGTTTATTATTCTTTACAGAATTCACATTCTAGAAAACACATTGACTTCAACAAATTTTTAACCCTTTGAACTCTGTATGCTCCAATATTACACCAGTAATATTAAATATTTTAATGAATTTTAAGAAAACTACCTTAAGATTATTAGATCTTCCAAATATAATTGTCGTGAATTAAAGGTCTAAGAAATGTTATAACATTGTTAATTTTCAGTAGGACTACTATCAAAATTGGTAAGAGTTGCTGACATATCACAAAACTATGTGGTGTGCTAAGGGTTAATATCGGTATATTTATTATAAAGTATCTATAGAAAAATAACTTTGCTGATAGTAAAAGGTTAAAATTCTCAAGCGATTCTGTAAAGACTCGATACAAATAAATTAGGTAAGCAAGAATATTCGAGCACTTATATTACGGTATCCTACATATCAATAAACCCTAATCGAACTAGCAGAACAATGTATTCCTAAGATGCACATCATTATCCAGAATACAATGATCTACCAGTAAACCGAACAAGGAAGAAGGTACGTAAAAGTCTCAATGAAATAACTACCAATAAAACCTCATTTCGATAATGCTCTATATCCCCGTACAAGAAAACTAGAAATCAGCCTCGAGATACGAGGGAATAGAAAAAGAACGAAGAAACGAACGAAACCGACGAGCGCACACTCGTTATCCCCGGTTAACAAGTCACAGGAACGGAAGAAAGCCGGGAGGAGCCTACGCGGAGGACTAATAATGTTCGCCAATCGATACGCTGAAAATCCGCCGTAAAAAGATAAGCCACCGGCGGGTTATTACGAGAAACTCGCGGCGCTCATTTGCTCGAAGGTTGTAATTTCAGTACAAAGAAGACTTTATAATCCGTTCGTGACGCGGAATCGTAACATCAGCGCGGCCCCCCCATTTGCATTGCTTATTCATAATTAGTCAAGATATCCGAAGCGGAGCTATGACATTTTTAAATTTTTAGGTCAGGCCAGATATCATGCGGGCCCGCGCGTTGCCAGATCGAACTTCGATAATGCCCGCCCCAATTCACCTTTTCGGGCTCCGTGTTTAGCTCGGCCACGATACGTCGTCCGAACGATTTAGTTTTCGCGAGAGTTATCGTCCACGTGACAGCGGATCTCGCCGGGCCGGGCCGGCCCGCCGAAAAGATAAATTCATTTGCATCGGGCTGACCCGTATTCACCGCGCGAGATCATGCCGTGACCGAGGCAGATTATAATATTGAAGGTTAACGCGAATATATTCTCGTTCCCGGGCGGGGGTTGAAAGGTTGTAAAAATCTACCTTGTCGTCGAGTGAACGATCTCGCGGCAGCGGAGAATTTTTTATGGGCTACCTTTCGAATTGATGGCTCGTGCTTCGGCTGCTTCGAGAGGTACAGTGTTTTGTTTTATCCTCTCGGCTTATCTTTTAATTTTATCTTAATACGTATTCATAGTATGTACTTTATTATCGTCCCGGAAGATAACGAATTCATTCTCGCCGGTTTCGAGTACGCGGAACGATGAGCGGAGAATTTGGATATTCGAAAGGTTGCAGGATGTAATTGGTACGCTTGGAACCTTACTTTTTCTGTTCTGTAAACAGGGGAGATAAGGGATTTTAATTATTTCCCGCGTTCGGTGTTTCGATTACGGATTGGACACACAGTGCATTCGCATATGTTGTACAGAGAAAAGTGCAAGCCGAGTCAGGTGTCCCGCTCCTCTGCGGAACTTTTACCGCCGACAAAAGGAAACTTCTTCCTCCAGGGGAACCACTTCCTCCACATTGTTCGATCTAACGGCACCAACGGCCGAACAAAGTTGCTTCCGCCGGTATTTTCCGCAAGTACAGGAACTGTGCCAAAAGGTTTCCTGTCACGACCGGCGTGCCCCGAGTCTGCCCGCAAATATTTGCCAGCGTTTCCAACTAACTTCCGAGCACATCATATTCCAAACAAACTGCCGCACGGATTTATAACTAAAATTTCACGTTGAAATCTCTGCCTCGCGAACGCTCGTTAAAAATAAATCACATCCTTAACCGCCTA